GCAAGCAAGATTACAAAAGACAAAAGACAATCCAAGAAACATCCATGAAGGAGACAAGAAGAGACAGCCAAGTCTTAAAAACCCATCTTTTAACATGGATGCTTCCTCCCTGCAGAGGCTGCCCTGAGAACAATGACTGACAGGACACTCAGAAAAGAACAGGATCAAAACTCACAGGAAAGAACTAGAACAGCTGTTGTCTTCTACAGAAACACGACGTGAAAACAAAGGTGATACCTGAGAAGAGGCTGAGAGCCATCCCTGGAGCAGACAGGACCAGACCCGGTTATATTTGAGTCCTTGTGATCACAGGTCCTGGTGGAACAACATTCTACCGAGGAACAAGGACAGAGTTGGTGAAGATGACCTAGTTAAGGATGACTACGTCAAAGCTCATGAAAGGCAGAACACTGAGCAAGCCCAGCCACACTTGACTTCTCCAGTGCTCTGCCCAACCCTTACAAGAGGTAACATCAAATACTTGGATCCTGGACATTTTCAGGTTTCATTATCTCCGTCAGACTTTGTGGATAGTCTCCCTTAAAGAACCCACAAACCACACATTATATCTAGAAATTGAAATACAGACTAACATCTATACCATTGTTTTCAGCAGAAAATAAGAAGCTGCATCTCAGTGGTGCCTAAAGTTCAGTCAGGGATGGAGACGTCCCAGTCCTGCCTCTGCTGGAACAGAAGAGATGACTGGAGACAAGATATGGGTCAGTGTCAGAAGGAAGATAATGCTCTTGAAATAACCATATTGAAGACGAAATGCAAAAACATCCTGTATGGTTCAGTCCCACATAAAGCAACAGTCACATACTGTAGAAGAAAATAATAAGAAATTCACATCTGGGGCTGGAGAGATGGCTCAGTGGTTATGAGTACTGGATGCTCTTCCAGAAGGCCAGGTGTTGTGCCCAGATCGTGATCCCCAGAGAGACCACCAAGGACGAGCGTACCAGAATGCAAAAGCAAGGTTTATTTCTGCTACAAGTCATGACAGGGAACTCAACTCACTGGCAGTGAGGCAGGGAGGAGTTACTCTTTCTTGGGGAAGTTAGTTTTTATAGGCAAAACCCATAAAATTTCTTAGAGGGGAGGGGGTTAGTATGGGTCCATCCTTGATTGGTCCAGGTTTTCCCGGGCCTGGACTTTGTCTTATTTTACCTTATCTGTTTGCCCTGTCAGGAGTTTTACAACTCATCTCTGGGGTCTGGTCATGTTATCTCTGGAGAGGGGCATCTCATAGTTAATCGGTTACCACCAGACATCCTGACTTTGTTCTTTTGAAAACACCTGTCTTTACCCTCTCCAGGAAGGGGGAACTGACTCATTTCTAAGATATCTCTTTCCTCAGTTCTTTTGGGTTTCTGAGGAAGCTGTGTCTGGGTCTTTTATCTCCAGTGCTGAGATTAAAGGCGTGTGCCACCATATTCCCATCCCATTTGGTTTTTAGACAGGATCTCTATAGCCCAAACTGGCCTGTGTTATGCCCAGATCGCATCCCTGAAGAAAGAGACTTTAGGTACAGAATGTAAAAGCAAGGTGTATTCTAAGTTTACAAGCCTCGGCAGGGAGGCTCATTCCAAATCTCTCATGCACAGCAGGGAGGTTGGAAGGAGTGATCCCCTTTCTTTGTGAGGCTAGTTCTTAAAGGCACAGACCATATAATTCATTTTCCACAACCCACCTCCCTTTTTTAGTCTTTTGGTCGAATATCCTGACTCTGTGGGGGTTTTTTTGTTTTTTTTTTTTTTTTTTTTGGGTTTTTTTTTTTTTTTTTTTTTTGGTTTTTCGAGACAGGGTTTCTCTGTGTAGCTTTGCGCCTTTCCTGGATCTCGCGCTGTAGACCAGGCTGGCCTCGAACTCACAGAGATCCACCTGCCTCTGCCTCCCAAGTGCTGGGATTAAAGGCGTGCGCCACCACCGCCCGGCCTGACTCTGTGTTTTTTAAAGTCCCTGTAGCTGATCTACACTTAGGAATCCTGGTTTAAGCTTCTTTTTGTCTGTAGGGGATAGAGTGGGGGGGGGGGGTTACTGAGGTTTCACACCAGGGTTTGATTTCCAGCACTTACACCATGTCTCACAACCATCTGTAACTCCAGTTCCAGGGGTTCCAATGCCTTCTTCTGGCCTCACCTCTGCAAGCACTACAGGCACAGGGTGCATGCATACATACAGGCAAAAATCTCATACATGTAAAATAAAAATAGATAAATATTTTTAAAAGAAAAAGAAATTCACATCAGTACTGAAAATTGTGATACAACATGCCATCACACATTCAAAATGTAACAATCCTGAAAGTCTCCACAATGCAAAGGACTATTATCCTCTGTCCCACACCAGGCACTCAGAGTCCTCTTTTTAAAGATGTAATAGATGTATCAGAGCTCTGGGCACTGTATATGCCTGGAGTAGAACAAAGAAGAACCTGGCCACAGCCTACAGGATATGAGGGTATAGGGAGGATCATGATACCTGAGCTTCCCAATGAGTTCCCAGTTATGGAAAAGGTGCAGGACTTTAATCCCAATAGGCAGATTTCTTTGAGTTCAAGGCCAGTCTGGTCTACACAGTGAGTTCTAGGAAAGCTAGGACTACACAGAGAAACTCTGTCTCAAAAAAAGCAGTCAACACCATGTAGAAGTAACCAATCATCTTATTCAATAAGAAACACAGAACCAATGCAAAGAAGAAAGCCAAGAGGTCAGAGCTAAGAGCTAAAAACCTTACCCTTCCTCTCACAGTGGTCCTACCTCTCCGAAAGAGACCTACTTCCTGTGTGTCTGTCTTTAAAAAGACTTTCTATTCTGCCTTCTCATTGGGTTGTAAACCCAACCACATTGCCTGTCTGTACAGACCTCCAGGTCTTCTATGGTTGGTATTGAGATTAAAGGCGTGTGTCTCCATGCTGGCTGTATCCTTGAACACACAGAGATCTACCTAGCTCTGCCTACCAAGTTCTGGGATTAAAGGCATGCACCACCAACGCCCAGCTTTCACTAAGGCTTGCTAATAGCTCTGACCCCTAGGCAACTTTATTTATTAACATACAAATAAAATCACATTTCAGTACAAATAAATATCACCATAACACCACACTAGCATGAGGTATTTTGTCTAGGTATTAATTAAAGTTGCTTAAATATCAGTAGAGAAATTGGAAATTACATTGTATAGACAATCCTAAAGGCAATACTGAAAATTATGTTAAGCATTCTAATGGCCTGCTAGATATGCTTTCAAGTGTACATATTTGTATGTATGAGGTAGCACATGCATGTCCTCTCTTGGATTCCATTTTTCAAAGGACTGTTTTATACTAGTATAATTCTTACTTCTGTTACTATGTAATATCATTTGAGTTCATGTATTATGGTACCTTAAGCATTTTTTTAGAAAACAACAGAAACTTAATAGTATATTAGTATGCATTTAATATAGTATCAATATACCAGCATATTAGTGTAATAGCAACAGTATACCTTGTGTATGCATGGGGGATACTCAGAAATTCAAAGACGTGGCCTTGTAGTCATAGTTAGCTGATGTTCTGCTGAACCAGAATGCAGGGGTGAATTATAGCTTAAACTGGTGCCTCTTCCACTAACAAGAAGGTCTGGTGATTTAGCCATTCTTTCCTGATACAAAAATGAAGACTTCACACTAGCACTAAAGCACCAAGGAGATGAGGCTTATTATTATTATTATTATTATTATTATTATTATTATTATTATTATTTTAACTGAAAATTCTTTTTCATTCAATATATTCTGATCACACTTTTCCCTACCCCAACTCCTACCAGATCCTCCCTCCCCACACAATGCCACATTCTTTCTTTCTCTCTCTCTTTAAATAAAACCAAGAAAGAGGCATATTTGAGGAGGCTGTATTTTGGTCTCCTCTAGGTCAGAGACACTCACAATAAGCAATTCCTACAATTAAAAAATACATTCAGGATTTTGAAGTTGTAATTAATTTTAGATAATAATATAGATTCCTTTGAGGGCGTGGCATTAGTTATAATTTGGTCCCAAATGTGAATATTACATTTCCCCCACATGTACCAATATAAAATACTCGACTAAAAAAATAAAATCATTTATGCAAGGTCAATCAAGAGTGACACAGGAACACGGATCCAAACTGCCCAGAAGGATGTGCTTCACTGTGGAAGGTGTTACATGAATCTGCATAGTCGCAGAACCAAGGAAGAAATAAATCAGTATGCTTTCCAGTTATGCTGGTGGATCATCAGGGTTACAGCCAAATGGGAAAGTTTGTTCTAAAGTTGCCAGATGTTAAAACATTGCTTAGCTTTGTGTTGGTAGAGGAGAGACATCTGCTAAGCTCTGCGATCCCTGCCTGGGGAGTTTATCTATTAGTTACAATAATGTCTGTGAAATACAAAAACGAAGGTAACCGGCCACATGTGGCCCAAGATGATTACGATACGTAATCTACAGAATGTCAACTCTCCACCATCATGATATTCTATGCAGCCAGGGTCAACCAACCAGTGGGATCTTTAATACAGACAGAGCTTCTTCATAGGACTTAGTTTGTCTGTGGGCACGAGGTCAGTCGTAAGCCTTCTGAGCAGTCTGGGTGAGTTACACAGCTACTGGAAAGTTTTTGTAATTCATAAATCCACCTGTATAGTAAAACAACGATAAAAAGCACAATAATAATAGCACCCACATCTCTTTTGTCCCTTCATAGGTGCCCACACTGCAGTAGGTGTTGCACACAAAAATTTTAAATGTAATTTCCCCTATACCCACACATAGCCTGTTTATGAAACAGCATTTTATAATTTCTTTACTCTCCGCTCTTCTTTTCTTTTTGTTTTTCATTTTTCTTTAAGAAATTTTCTACTCACTCTACATACCACCCACAGATCGCACCTCCTCCCTCCTCCCACCCCCCCAAGCCCTCCCTCCCAAGCCAGTCCACATCCCCACATCCCCCAAATCCCACCCACCATCTGAGACTGCAACTGTTCCCTGAGACAGAGCCCACTTTAAGCATTTTTCCTTCTGCTTTGGCTGCTCATGGACTTCAGTGTCTCCCTATGAGTGTTAGTATTATTTTTTCCTGATTTTGTGAAGAATGACATTAAGATTTGAATGGAGACTTCCAATGATCTCAATAATGCAGCCAGTTACCCAATATTAATTCTGCCAATCCAAAAACATTGGAGAGACCCCCCCATGTGTGAGTGTGTGTGTGTGTGTGTGTGTGTGTGTGTGTGTGTATTTTCATAGATAATCCGACACATATGCCTATACATGTGCGAGTATATGTAAGCCAGAGGACAACCCCAGGAATCATGTTACATATCTCAGGCATTGTCCTCTGTTGCAGGATATTTGATCACACTGTGAACCCCTGGAAATGTGTTAACAAAATTAATCTTGGATTGGGGGCAGAGCCAGCAACTAGTTGACCGAAATTAGCCATAGAGAGTCCAGAGGAGCTAGAAATACAGATAGAGAGATACATAGAAAGTATTAGTAGGGAGAGACTTTGAGTGCAGCGGTCTTTTTTGGTGTGGCAGAGTGACGCTCTCTTTTGGAGATGCTGGCAAAGAGATAAGGTCATCTAGTTGCTACTCAACCTCTCTGAGCTAGCAGGTTTTCACCCAAGCTTCTGACTCCCGAGTCTTATTGGTAAATAGAGCAATAGAGATTTAATTAAAAACTACGTTTAATGGCAGTGGCAGGAGGCAGACTGGTGGGACATGAAAGCCCTACCTGGCCACTGCCTGACAAGTGGGCCAGTGACTGTGGAGCCACAATTACTGGCTGAAGCATCAGCAGATACAGGTGCAGCCACTGTGCTGATGGAAAAACAACAAGTTCTCCTTTTATCTTTTGAGGCAGGATCTCTCACTGTCCTGGAACTTGTCGAATAAGATGGGATGGTTGACCAGCAAGCCGCGAAAATCTGCCTGTCTCTGTCTCCCATTGCTGTGATTACAAGAGTACCACCACCATGGGTGGATTTTTCTAGGTAGGCTCTGGGGGATTGAACTCCAATCTCTGTGCTTACAAGGTAACTGTTTTGCTGAACTATTTTTTAAGCCCCTAGTGGGCATGCTTTAAAAACTATCTTTTTATTGTTGTTATTTATGTGTATCTTTTCTTTACATTTTAAATCATATTACAAATAAAATTTGTTCTTTGACAATTTCATGTATGTGTATAATGTATTCTAGTTACTCTGATTTCTTATCCTCTTAATCTCTTTCCCAACCCCATTAACCTCTTCTCTATCCTACAAGCCCACATTCATGTCTTCTGGTTTTGTTTTGAAACCCACTGAGTTTAACCAAGGCAGCCTTTATGACTGTGGGTACAAGCTATCCATTGGAGACTTTAACCAAGGTGGTCTGTATGACCATGGGAATGGGTCCATTCATTGGAGCCTTTAATCAAGAGGGTCTGTATGGTTATGGGCACAGAACTATCCACTGGAACCTAGTGAAAAACTGTCTCTATAAATAGGGAGGTATAATGAAAATTTGTATGTGAAATATATACATAATTTGTGAACAGCACAATCTTTAGCCAACCTCTGAAATTTGCCCTAAAAGTTTTTAGCAAATATGCATTCACTACCACTACACTGTACTCTATTTTTGTGTATGTTTCTGTAATAAAGTCACAAAGTAAATAAGTAGAATAAAATCAACTTTAATATTTGTAAATGCACATATCATTAGGCCTAGCAACTTATGTTCTGAAACTGTATTATAGAAAAACATGAATGTAAAAAAGTTGAAGTGGCTTCTAGAAGCTGAGTATAACTAAACATTCCTAACAACAAAAGGTTATTTAAACTATTCAGTTATGTTTAGCCATATGAAGAAGCTAAAAAGAGTAAAGAAGTGGACAATAGTTAACACAGGATTTGTTCATGATTTGTTCAGTGGGAGAACAGATTGCAAATTCTATTATACAAGTTGTAGACACACACATCCAAAAATAAAGAATGCTTTAAAAGTCATATTACATTAATATAAATGAGAATTAATTCTAAATTTGTTTCAGTATTGATATTTTCTTTCTTTAATTTTCCTTTCATTAATCAGTAGTAGTAGCACTACGTATAGCAATGGACTAGAGAGTAACAATTCAGTATATGTCTGCCCTGTTTGATGATCAAAAAAGTGCACTATTTATGGTGTATTCAATTAAAAATTTTCATATTAGTTTACATAATCTTTTAAACTAATTGTCTTAGTCAGTGTTCTATTTCTGTGAAGAGACACCATGACTCCAGCAATTCTTATAAAAGAAAGCATTTAATTGGGGCTTGCTTACAGTTTCAGAGATTTAGTCCATTATGGCAGCACACAGATGGACATGGTGCTGGAGAAGTAGCTGAGAGTTCTAAAACCAAATCTATGGGCAGCAGGAAAAGAAAAAGCCACTGGGACTAGCTTGGGCTCTCAAAAAGTCAAAGTCCAACCCCCCTCACACACACACACACACACACACACACACACACACACACACACACACACACCAGTGACACACATCCTCCAACAAGGCCACACCACCTAATCATTTCAAATAGTGCCATTCCCTGATGACCAAGCATTCAAATTTATGAACCTATGGGGGCCACTCTCATTCAAACCACCACACTAATATTTGAAAATTGTTGAACTGTTATCTTCCCCTTGAGAATAATTCAGAAGACTTAAAGGGAAATTTTGGGAAATAACAAAGTGTTCATCCCCGGCCCATTATGGGAGACTTTTCAAGCAAGACCCTGAAAGTCCAATAGAAAATCTTCACTGCTCTCCTTAGGTCACATTTCAATTGCTTTGCAGTAGAGAAGCCTTCTTAGTGACTGATGTACCTCCTGGTTCCTCAAGGTATAGATAACAGGGTTGAAGATGGGAGTGACCACTGTGTAGAGCAGGGCAACAACCTTAGAGAGAAACTGCGAGTGGACAGCAGAGGGTGCAATGTACAAGACCATGAGTGTTCCATAGAATGTAGACACCACGGCCAGGTGAGAGGAGCATGTGGAAAAAGCTTTTGTTCTTCTGGCGCCAGAGGGAACTCTCAACACAGTCACCACAATCTGAGCATAGGAAACCAGAACCAGCCCAAAGGGGATCGTCAGGAAGACAACAGAGAGAACAAATGTGGTCACCTGGGCCACTCCGGTATCTGAGCAGGCCAGGACCATCAAAGGTGAGAAATCACAGTAAAAGTGGTCAATTTGGTTGGGGCCACAGAACCACAGCTGGGCCATCAAAGCAGCAACTAGTCCATCTACTATGAATCCAGACATCCAGACTGTGAGCACCAACCCCAGACACCGTTGAGGCCCCATCAGGAGCGGGTATCTTAGTGGGTGACAGATTGCTAGGTAGCGATCATATGCCATCACAGCCAGAAGAAAACACTCATCTGTAGCCAGAGAGCCAAAGATGAAGAACTGGATCAAGCAGCCAGCCACAGAGATTGCAGACTCCTGTAGGAAGCCCTCCAACATTTTGGGCACCACTGTGGAGGTATAGAGGATCTCAATGAAGGACAGGTTCACCAGAAAGAAATACATAGGTGTGTGAAGCTTCTGGGAGCTGACCACCACCACTACAATGAGCATGTTCCCTGTGATGATGGAGGCATAGACGATGGTGAGAACAGAAAAGAAAGGGAGGTACAGCCCAGGGACTTCATGGAAGCCAAGAAGTATAAATTCAGTGACAGTTTGGTTTCCTGTGGAGATGCTTTCCATGGGATCATTCAGTTTTCTGGTTGGCTTGACAGTAACTAGAGAAATTTTAGTGTGTCTCTGTTGTCTGTTGCAATTCTAAGATTGACAAGGCTAAAACAAGATAACAGAGTGTACAAAATGAGGATGGATTAAACTCGTCTTCATCTTTCCCTTTTAGTTATTACCACCCTGGCTCTTCCTTCCCGTGCCCTTTGATGTAGCGTATTCCTAATGGCCCAGGAGAGCTTATCCATATTCAAATTTTCAATAAAAACCAAAACTTTGTGTAGTGACCACCATGTGTGTTCCTTGACAACAAACTTTTACCTTTCACAACCAAAGCCAATACTGCTACAAAAGAATTGAATGGTATGCTGGAGTCCCATGGTGAAGGCCAGTCATCTTTACCTCAACAGTGTCTCTGGCCTCCATCACGTAGTCACTTCAGTCTCATCAATTTCTTTGATTTCTTATCATTTCTTCCTCTGTGTCCCACTCCTGTGTGTACAATGGCCCACTGGGTAGACTTTTTGTCTCTAGTTTTTAGAGTATTTTATCAAAATAATCTTCTGAAAGCACAGTTTCTTTAGCTGACTAGAAGTTTTAATTAAGGTATAATAAATGATGGTGAGAGGGAAGTATAGGAGCTGTGGGAACAGAAGGAAAAGAAACCCAGACTCAGGTTGTAGGGTAGAGGATTGTGGGGCAGAGAGTGTGGAAATAAAGTTCAGGGAAACTTCCTGAAGACAGTAGCTTTTAAGTGACTGTTGTATAAGCTACTGTCTTACATTAAGCTAAGTTTTGAGAGCTGGATAACAGTGGGCTAGCCAGCAGACTGGACCGGGCAATGTGACCTGATGCAAAAGCTTGTGGGTGCAGAGGTGTGATGGAGCACAGTGCTTCTGAAGAGCTGAAGTGATCCTTGTATGGCAGGCAGGACTTCACATGCTGACTGAGTCATGTCTGCTTTTTACTGCAGAGAGAATATGTAGGACGGCTGGAAGCAAAGGAGAACGGGGAAGAAGAAAGAAGGAGCAAACCATGCACATGTTCTCATGAAATGTAACCTGTTTCCACTCCACAGTAGTAATAAAAGTGCGTGTCATTTATAACATGAAATTTAAGTTGTCTGACACCGATGCCTACAACAGCTGCCTGGGAAGGTGAAACTAAATGACTCAGGGAACTGCTTGCTGTTTATGACTCTGCCACAGGCCAAATCTGTATATTACATGGAATGACATTTTCTATTCCTGTGTAGCACTGGTGCTATATCCTCAGAGACAGAGAGGTACAGTTTAAGTTGTATGTTGTATGTCTCCCCCGGGGTCTCCTTGACTAACCATTTTTCTTTCTTTAGCACTCTTATACTGAGTATATAGAGGATATTATTTTAAACCTTGAGGATTCCCAGTCAAATAAAACAAGGCCATTACCTTAAGGAGCCTTATGGAATAGATGCACACATCAACAGATAATTGCAGCACACTGAGAGGAAGCTGATGAATTAAAACTGAATGAAATAGTTCTGGGAGATGTGGTGCTGAGTAGACTGCTATAGCTGTGGAAAATGTAAAGGGAAATGATGGTATTCCAGATAGAAAGAAAACTATGGCTAGATTCTGAGGCAAGAAATGTCACAGATGTGAGGATGAAAAAGAGGCTGCAGAGCTAAGTAGCCCAGGATGATAAAGAAAGTCATCTTTGAAGGAGCATCATGAATGGTGGCTCTCAACCTGTGGGTCATGTCCCCTTTGGGGGTCGAACAACCCTTTTACGGGGGTCACATATCAGATAGCCTACATATCAGATATTTATGTTAAGATTCATAACAGTAGCAAAATTACAGTCATGAAGTAGCAACAAAAATAATTGTATGGTTGAGGGGGTCACCACAACATAAAGAACTGTATTAAAGGGGAGCAGCATTAAGAAGATTGAGAACCATTAATCCAAGAAGCACAGAGAGAGGCCAGCAATGGACATGCCCCCCTCTGCTGATCACAAACTGTATCTACTCTGTCCTGTTGGCCTCAAAGCCTGCCTGAGGGCTTTTAGAAAGCAGAGTGGCATGGTGGTTAGTCCAGATGAAATTAGACAGCATTAGGAAGGCTCAGATCCAAGATAATGGAGAGAGAGAGAGAGAGAGAGAGAGAGAGAGAGAGAGAGAGAGAGAGAGAGAGAGAACGCTAGGAAGGGAAGAACTGAGGGAGGAGGCAGGGAGGGAGGGAGAGCTCACCCAAATGATAGTGAAATATAAAGACATGGTCACAGGTTATGTTTATAATTTCTATTCTCCCAAAAGCAAGTTCAGTCACCACAGATTTCTCTGGAATTTGCTATGTAAACCAGGCTGGTCTCTGCCTCCCAAGTGCTAGGAATAAAATCATGCATCAATCACCACAGGAGATAAAATTTCAATCTACCATAGTGAACAACAAAGTCCTGCAACAAATACAGAATTTTTATACAGAAATGGGAGCTCACCTGGGAAGCATTGGAGAGCAGCCTGTGCTCTATAGACTGAACTGAAGAAAAGGAGATAAGCTAAGGTTTCTTGAAGACTTCAGAATGGCCAAATTTCCCAACTTCAGCTCCTTCATTTTTTATCTCAACCTGAAATAATGCAGGGTCTTGATTAGAAACATCTCCCTTGCTACCCTCCACCCCTGAGCTGTTCTCTCCAACCTCTATGCCCTCTTCTAGCTCCCAAGATATCCTGCCCTTTCACTGTGAGCCCTTTTATCACAAGGGAAGGCTGGCAGAAGTGGCCCCTGAGAACAAATTATAGATTTACTGCAGAGAAGCCTTAAGTGAACAAGATGGAGCAGCCCACTGGGGCATTATTATCATTATTATTATTATTATTATTATTACTATTATTATTTATAGATTTACTGTAGAGCAACCTTAAGTGAACAAGATGGAGCAGCTCACTGAGGCATTATTATTATTAATATTATTATTATTTATAGCTTTACTGTAGAGCAACTTTAAATGAACAAGATGGAGCAGCCCATTGAGGCATCATCATCATTATTATTATTAGAGAATTCCTGAATGTTGGTTTGATCAAAACTGGAGCAGAAACTAAAAGAGCTACAAGAAACTTTCCTTTCCATCCCCTTAGGGAAAAATGCTCTGCACTCCCCAAGGCATCTCACCACTAACTTCCAGCCTTTTTGTTTTTTTATTTTTTTTTTTACTTTTTTTTTGGTTTTGATTTTTGTTTTTCAAGACAGGGTTTCTCTGTGTACTCCTGGTTGTCCTAGAACTCACTCTATAGACCAGTCTGGCCTCGAACTTAGAGAACCACCTTGCTTCCCAAGTGCTGGGATTAAAGGCGTGCACCACCACTACCCGACTTTTAAAGGTATATTTATTTATTTTGTGTGTATAAGAGTGCTCCATCTGCATGTATGTCTGTACACCAGGAGAGGGCATCAGATCTCACTACAGATGGTTGTGAGCCACCATGTGGTTGCTGGGAATTGAACTGAGGACCTCTGAAAGAGCAGCCAGTATTCTTAACCTCTGAGCCATCTCTCCAGGCCTAACTCCCAATCTTTTTCCAGTAACTCACTAACAAATTCACCTGACTCTGCAGTACCCTAACTGTCAGATAAATGGCAAAGATATATTGTGATGGGAGGCATGAATGGAAATGGTATAACCTAGCAAAACTTAACAAAGACATCAAATTTTATATACCTCATACAGGCAAGACAGCCAAAAAAGAAACTCCCGAAAGTCAGGGTTAGGGCAGGGTTTTGTTTTTGTCTTTGCAGGAGAATAAAAGTACCCAACTAAGGAATCTGGAGACTATTGGGAAAGTGAAACATCTGAAGAAAAAGGACAGATAATCAAAAACAAATGTCCCAAGAAAAAGAGTAAATTGGCCAAGTGGTATTGCCCACCTCCAGTTGACTGACCTGAAATCCCAGCTCAAAGCCCCCAACTAGCATGGCCCCCATGCCACCATCTTTGACTGCTCCTTCCCACCAGACAACCACCAATGTTCTCCACAAACACTGGTCACCTTTGAGTTGACTGCTGTGTTCTACCAAGTTAGGATTGCCACTAAGCTCAAAAACACCACCTAAAGATCAGCTTCAGACTGCTCAGGACACTCAGATTGTTGACTTAATATGAGACTGACATGTACATTTTACAGAACTTTGAACTCAAAAATACTTAATCCTAAGACTGCCAAATACAAGCACACTGGACATTGTGGAAAGCTTTGCAGAAAGAGCTTCATTATTGTAAATAGTTTTACTGTGCTAAAACCTTTCCCTTTATTTCAGACAAAAAGAAAGAAATGTTGCAGGATATTTGATCACACTATGAACCCTGAGATTGTGTTATATACTGGAAAAACTTGTTTCTAGTTGTGGTGTGTCTCAGCCCTAGCACACACCTTTAATCTAAGAGCTTTCTGCTTGAATATTGTAAACAGCATTAAATAAAGTCAACCAGAGATCAAGAAACTGAGCAAGCAACAAGTTGACAGGAAAAAAAACATAGAAAGTAAGAGATTCAGGAGGATGGACAGAGAGATGCACAGGAAGTAGAAGGGAGGGACATTGAGTCTGAGGAATCTTGTTTGAGATGGAGCAGGAGAAAGGTCCTTTTTCTGGGATGTCAGTGGAGGAGGAAAGACAGCTGGGTGCTTTCTCTGCCTCTCTGAGCTAGCAGGCTTTCACCCCAACATCTGGCTCCTGAGTCTTCATAAAAATCAAACGATTTTGTTAAAAATTCATTGTTCCGTGATTGTGTAACATTTCCAGCTGCTGGCCTTCTCCCTCTTCCTCCTGGTTTCCTTATGCTTTTGCTGGGCAATGTCTTTGCCATGCTCCTTGTGACCCTGAATGGAAGCCTTCAGACTTCCATGTACTTTTTCATCCGAAATCTCTCTTTGGTTAAGCTCTGGTACACCATGTTCACTATGTCCATCCAACTTTCTAAATTTTGAAGGACCAACTTTCTAAATTTCCCAGCTGTATCACCCAGTATTGTTTCTTCTCCTCTGGCTGCCATTAGTTATTCAACCTCACCACCGTGGCTTTTTTTAAGCTATATTTTATTATTTTATGTGTATGTGTATGGACCTGAGTGCATGCATGTGCACCAAACACACGCAAGTGTCCACAGAGGCAAGAAAAGGGCATCAGAGTCTCTAGAAACAGAGTTACAGACAGTTGTGAGCTGCCGTTTGCTGCTGTAAATTGAACCTGGGTTGTCTGCAAGAACAGCCAATGCTCTTAACCACTGAGCCATCTCTCCAGCCCCAACCACCACTGCTTTTGACTGCTGTGGTGCCATTTGTTGAATATTCCATTATCCATTATTTTTCAGTTCCCTAGCATGTACCACTCTGGTTAGGATCTGATGGTCTGTGGGTTTCCTATGTCTCACATTCCCATCCTTCCTCCTTGCACAGACCTTCTGCATACCAAACTAAATCAGCCATTTCTTCTGTGATGCTGACCAGACCTTTGACTTTCCTACACACAAGTGCCATCTAGGTGATGAGCTATATTCCGAGCAGCATTATTAGCCTAGAATTCTTGGGCTTCACTGTGGTTTCCTACTTGCAAATCCTGGCTGCAATCCTAGCAATGGCAGGAACTGCCTCACATAAAACCATGTCCACCTTTAGCTGCAGCTGCCTTATCTCCTTCTCCTTTACTGTTCCTCCTTCTACTTACTTCTTGTTTTCCTTCTACTGGCCTCATACTAATTCCTGTCTGTGTTGGTTTGAATGAGAATGGCCCTCTGTAGGCTCATATATTTGAAAGCTTGGTCTCTAGTTGATGGAACAGTTTTAGTAAGATTAGAAGGTGCCATGGCCTTGTTGGAGGAGGTGTCTCATTGGGGGATGAGATTTCAAAAGCCCACACCAATCTCTCTCTGTCTCTGTCTCTGTCTCTGTCTCTGTCTCTCTCTCTCTCTCTCTCTCTCTCTCTCTCTCTCTCTCTCTCTCTCTCTCTCTCTCTTGCTCACTCGCTCTTTCTGCCCCCTACTTGTGGTCAATAAGATCTCAGTTACTCTGGCAGCACCATGCCTGCCTATCTGCTGCCACACTCCCTGCTGCAATGGTCATGAACTTACCCTCTGAAACTGTCAGTAAGCCCTCAGTTAAGTGCTCTCTTTTATAAGAAGCCTTGGTCATAGTGTTTCTTCACAGAAATAAAAAAAAAAAAAAAGTAAGACAGAAGTTGGTACCAGGAACTGGAGTATTGCTGTGATGGGTCTAACCATGTTTTTTGGAGAAATATAGAAGACTTTGGAACTTTGGACTAGAAAAACAGTTAAATCATATAAATGAAACTTAATGGGTCATCCTATTAGGAGCCTGGAAATCTGTAGTGCTGAGAGAAACGCAGACTATGGAGGTTCAGGTCAAAAGATTTCAGAGTGGAACAAAATTAATAACTGGCCTAAAGATCATTCTTGTGATATTTTGCAAAGAATGTGGCTGCTTTCTACCCTTGTCCAAAAAAGAATGCCAAATGCTAAATTGAAGAGGTTTAGATTAAGATCATTGGGAGAGGAAATTTCAAGACAAGCTAGTATTGACTGTGTCACATGATTATTAGTAATCACTCTTATAATGACATATAATGAAAAAAAGAGCAAGCAGGGCAAAAAGAAATATAAAACATAAAACTTGAGGAGAAAAACAACCCCAAGAAATTCAATATTAAAGCCAAGCCTTGTACTCGAAGAGATGAGAAGTTTAAAGAAAGGCCTGATGCTAAATGTAATAAAGGAAGTGGAAGCCCCAGGGAAAGACCCCACCCAGCTAATCCTGCATTCTGTGAACCAAATAAGCTAAGAGATTTCCTATACCTAAAAAGCAGCTACAGAGCTTATGCAAATATAACTCAAGAAAGAGGTTAGGTTCCAGCCCAAGTACACAGCAGGACTTGACAGCTTTGGGACTTATTCTGGTTGTAGAGTCAAGAAAAATACAGGAGTAAAAGGGTTGTGGACTCTCCCTCCTCAGTTAAGAGAAGCTACTGAGACCAGGGGTGTGACCAGAAAGTCCCTTGGGACCCAGAGAGGCCACTTCATGAAGCTGTGGAAGTGATTCCTAGATTGCATTGGAGAACCCCAGCGTGTTGGAGATGCCCGAGCCATGGGATGTCTGTGGGGTATGCTGCATCCGGGGTGTGCAACCAGCCCAAGAGAGAGATGTATGTTGCAGTCAATAAAGCTGGAAGAAGTGGGATATTCAAAGAGCCATCTAAGCCATTTGTCATCTGATATAGAGCTTTCTCTGCTGGGTTTAGGTCTTGCTTAATCCAATACTTCCACACTATGCCCTCTTTGCTCCCTTTTGGAATGATAATGTATATAGTCTATACCATTGTATTTTGAAAGTATGGAATTTGATTTTTGTGTTTACAGAGGGTTGCATTTAAGAGATTGCCTTGAGTCACAGAAGAGACTTCGGACTTTTAAACAGTGTTGAGGCTGTGAAATAACTATAGGGACTTTAGAAATTGGGCTGGATACATTTTGCTTAATCGTATGGCTACAAACCTATGGGAGCTAGGGAGTGGAATGTGGTGGTTTGAATGAGAATGGCCCCCATAGCTCATGTGTTTAAATGTTTGGTCCCTAGGTGGTGAAACTGTTTTTGGAAGGATTGGGAGAGTGAGATCTTGTTGGAAGAGGTGTGTCACTGGGGGTGGGATTTGAGGTTTCAAAAACCCATGCCAGACCCAGTCTCTGCCTCCTGCTTGTGGATCAGATGCAAACTCTCAGTTACTGTTCCAGTGTCGTTTCTGACTGCCTGCTGCCATATTCTCTGCTATGATGGTGAAGGACTCACCGTCAGAAATTTTAAGCAAGCTCCAAATTAAATTGTTTCTTTTATAAGATGCCTTGGTCATAGTGTCTCTCTTAGTTAGGATTACTATTGCTGTGAAGAAACACCATGACCAAAAGCAACTTGGGAAGGAAATGATTTATTTGGCTTATGCCAAATCAAAGCAAATGTAATTCAAGGAGGGGGCCAGGTATTATTACACTTCCACAACAATGATCATCATTGAAGGAAATCAGAACAGGAACTTAGGCAGGGCAGGAACCTGAAGCCAGGAGCTGATGCAGAGGGCATGGAGGAGTGCTACTTACTGGCTTGCTCTCCATGGCTTGCCCAGCCTGCTTTCTTGGAGACCCAATGACTACCATCCCAGGAGTGGCTCCACCCACAATGGATGGAGCCCTCCAAAATTAATCACTAATTAAGAAAATGCTCTATGAGCTTGTCTACAGGCCCATTTTAGGAAGACATGCCTCTAAGAATTCAGTCCTCATCTCCACAACTGTCACGATGATAATTCTGCACTGTATTTTCTATGTTGTCACAATGATAACTCTGCACTGTATTTTCCATATGCTTTATGATAAAGTATGAGCAAGGAGGCTCCAGGCTTTGTGAGCACCTGTGTGTGATGCTACTTCACAGTTGGGGCTGATCATAACTCAGAAACTTATGAATGTCACAAACTCTAACACCAAAATCCTGCAAGATCAAAAATCTCTTAAGTCTAACATCCTAGGAAGTCATAAATATCATCATATTTCAGGTAACTGTGGGTATAAAGCTCTGTGCACACAATTGCCAGCCATACTGATATGTGTTTACACATTTTCCTTATTGATTAATGTCTTTATGAATATAGCATTCATAATTGGTATACCTATGTGAGCTTCATGAACATACCTGAGTCAAGTGATATGCATGCAAAAATGTGTACACTTTTGCCTATCTTGTGAGATAGACTATTTTCCCATATTTTATGTTCCTTCAATAAATACTCCTTTGAAAAATGCAAATAAATGTCCTTAAAGTAATTTTTTAAATACCTCCTGAATTACATTTTAGAGATTTAAACTTTCGTGATTATGACATTCAAAACTGTGTCTTTTCTGATAGTGATACACACTCCTTACTGGACATCACTTGTACAGTGTTTTCCTGCTTGGGAAAATGGCTATTGATAAAAGCAGATAGTTCTGATGACTGGCTTATTTTTCTGCAACATAAGGAGAATTTTCTTAAAGTCTCCGAGGGCCTGAGTATCCCAGCACACTCTGCTTTCCAGTCCAGGTGAGCCTGGCACAACTCTTACGAGTTAATGCACACTAAGAGAGGGATCTCATGTGGATTATATCTGTCGATATCTATCACATTAGAAAGAAAAATTGTTGAAGCTTAAGATTCCTGCTACACCAGCGTAAGGGTGCATGCCTAAATTCCCAACATTTGGAAGGTGGAGGCTTTGATCAAGGAAGAGTTCAAGATCACTCTCAACTACATAAAGAATTTGTAGGCAGCCTGGGCTATATGAAACAAAAAGAGAAAAGAGGGAATTGGGGATAAATGAGGGGAATTGGCTAACAGAGAAAAGAAAGGATGAGAAAGAAGGCTAAAGGGAGTCTGGCATTCTGCAAAAATATAGTTTAAGATGGAGGTCTGCATTTTTAGCAGCAAACACTGGCACAGAGGCTCCCTGTTCCTCCTAGTTTGTTCAGTGGTGTGGTGGTGGTGAATTGTCTTAAAAGACTTAAGGGCATCCTGGTCTATACAGGTCAGCCAGAGCCACATGGTAAGATTCTATCTCAATAAATAAATAAAATTAACTAGGGTAAAAACAAAACAAAACAAAAAAAAAACATCAACTTCTGACCTCCACGTGTAGACACATGAACACTTATATACATGTACACTCACACACACACACACACACACACACACACACACACACACACAGTAAATTCATTATTGAACCATATCAATAAAGAATATATCAATAATAAGTAGAATTACTGGTTTTGTAAATGTAGTGACATCTACAGTGATAAAAAGGAGAAAATAAAAATGGGTGACCAGGGATAGTATATGAGAGCTAAGAAGGAGACCCATAACCCTTGAGGTTGTCTGTGAAACCTTCTCATAGGTCAGCCTCTGCCTCTTGCCATCTAAGGAACAGACTCCAAAATAACATTAATTAGTTGTGTGAGGCTCTCCCAATTGGAAAGTAGAATGTACTGGGAAACTCAGGTCCTCAGAGACTTAAAGAAAATTCTCCTGATGAGGGACCCATGTTGCAGAAGGAGAAAAAAAGCCAGTCATCACCCCCTACCTGCCTTTATCAATGTCTGTTTTCCCAAGTAGGAAAACACTACACAAATGATGTCCAGAAAAACGCTGGGAGATCCAGGATGAAATAAAGCAGGGACTGAACCGCAGCAGGACCAATGTGTGGGCTCATGGCTCTAATTAATATTTATATTTTTGCATAGCATTTGAATTTATGTATCTACTTAAGTTCATCTTTTTAGGTATCTAAATTTTTATTATATGTAGTCACTTTCAGTGTTATTTATAATGATGTTTGTATATGTACATAATATATGATACATTTGTGACCTTGAATGAATCTGGCTTCTGAGGTTATTAGTTTACACTTCTGTGCTTAGATTTAGAAGTATAACATGTTAGTGTGTGAATCCATGAGGTTTGTGTACAAAATCTGGGGAGTTTTATATGTATTGTGATATAAAAGGATGAGTCTGAGAGCACCAAGATGCAAAGATGGGCAATTGGAGAAGGCTTTGTATTCCACTACATTTTTATTCAGAGATCTTCACTCCTCTGACTGGATAACAGCTTTATTTCCTGCAGCTGCCTCAAAGAGATGATTTTGAGTCTTCTCTACAAACGGGAGACTGTGAACTCTATCTGAGGTAAGATGATAGCAAATAAAGAGAGGCTAATGGAAGGGGGAAAAGAATGGATCAGAGAAGAGACACATTGAGAGCGAAAAAGAAAGAAATGTACTGGAGAAGAAAAGATAAAGGATTTCGAGGAGGAACAGGACAGGAAATCCCCTTGACTTGGAATAGGATTTTTCCCGCTCTGAATGTGGATCAAATTCGGGTTCGTCTGGGGAGGAAATGTCCACCCCAGCAAGGATGGGAAATAGAGAAGCATGAAAACGCTGGATTGTGGTGGCTACTTATTGTAATTCCAGTGCTCACGCCCAGTGCACACAAAGCTGATGCAGGAGGATCGAGGTGAATTGGAGACCAGTTTGGAATACAGTGAATTCTAGGCCATTCTGGGATATAAATGAAACCTAAAACAAAAGGAAGAGTGTGAGAGAAGGCAGAACAATCCGGAGTCAGAGCAGAAGAATCTAAATTCAGTGTGTACTTTCTGACTGTGGGGACAGCGCAGAGATCAGAGACAAAAATCCACCCAGCGCGTTCTTAGGGTGGCCAGGGTGTAACATGGGCCTGTGCATGAACATCTCAGTTCAAAGGCCCTGATAGCATAAGAAAAAGGGAGTCCCCGGGCAGACAGGTCATCTCTGTCCTCTTTGAAGCACACACAGTGGTGACTCTTCCCCACCCCTCCTTCCTGGCCAAAAGCTGTGGCAGATGGACACCAACGCCTCCCTGGTGACTGAGTTCGTGTTGGTGGGCTTCTCGCGTCTGGCCCACCTGCAGGGCCTCCTCTTCTCCCTCTTCCTGGCGGTCTACCTGCTCACGGTGGCAGGCAATCTCCTCATCGTGGCGCTAGTCTCCACAGACGCAGCGCTGCAGTCTCCCATGTACTTCTTCCTCCGCATCCTCTCAGCCCTGGAGATCTGCTACACGTCGGTCACCGTCCCCTTGCTGCTGCACCATCTGCTCACTGGCCGGCGCCACATCTCGCGCTCCGGCTGCGCTCTGCAGATGTTCTTTTTCCTCTTCTTTGGTGCCACCGAGTGCTGCCTGCTGGCTGCCATGGCCTATGACCGCTACGCCGCTATCTGCGAACCCCTGCGCTACCAAATGCTGCTCAGCCGGCGGGTGTGTGTGCAGCTCGCCGGCGCCGCGTGGACCTGCGGGGCTCTTGTGGGGCTGGGGCACACCTCCTTCATCTTCTCCTTGCCCTTCTGTGGCCCCAACGCTGTCCCTCACTTCTTCTGTGAGATCCAACCGGTGCTGCAGTTGGTGTGTGGAGACACCTCGCTCAATGAGCTGCAGATTATCCTGGCTGCCGCCCTTATCATCCTGTGCCCCTTTGGCCTCATCCTTAGTTCCTACGGGAGGATCCTGGCCACTATCTTCCGCATCCCATCAGCTGCTGGTCGCCGAAAGGCCTTCTCCACCTGTTCCTCCCACCTGGTAGTGGTATCTCTCTTCTACGGTACTGCCATCTTTATCTATATCCGTCCTAAGGCTAGCTACGACCCAGCCACGGACCCCCTGCTGTCCCTCTTCTATGCTGTGATCACCCCCATCCTCAATCCTGTCATCTACAGCCTGAGGAATGCGGATGTCAAGGCCGCGCTGAAAAGAAGTATCCAGAAAATGGGGCCCTCGGAGATTTGACAAAGGAGTGGAAGACTCCTGAACAGAACTCCAGGTTGCAAATTACCAGGGATCAAAGGAGAGGAGACCTGGTACACAGACTTACCTTTAAAGAGCTATTGATTTCCCCAACGCCTACTGCTCTATTCTGACTCCTGCTGCAAAGGGTTGATTTTTACAAGTAGAACAATTTAACTAGGAACAAAGTTGCAGAATATCAACTTCCTCACCCCACCACACACACACACACACACACACACACACACACACACACACACACACACACACACCAGACTATGGAGGTAATAAAGTTTTCACCTGCGGAGCAATGGTCCTGGAAGTTATCTGGCATTCAGACATGGTAAGAAAGGACTTTTTTCTTGAGTTAGTAGGCTAGCACACATAAACATATCCAGGGGGAAAAAAATCTGTCCCTAGTAAAGCTCTTAAAAAGTGAAAGGAGATCTGAAAAGAATCATGGAAGTTAGATCTTATGGACATTAATACATCACAGTGGTTGAAAGAATTGATATTAAAACACACTTGAATTCAAATATTTTATGTTTGCTTTTTGAGACAGAGTCTGATAGAGCTCTGACGGGTCTCAAACTCATTATGTAGCCCAACCTGGCCTTAAACTCCTGATTCTCCTGCTTCTACCACCCAAGTGTTGAGATTGCAGGTGTGTACCACCACACCTGACTTGAATTCAAACCCTAATTTTTCCAACTAATTAGCTGTGTGATCATAAACAAATGATATAATCTCTCTTCACTTTAAACTCTTTATCCATAAAGCTGAGATGACAAGTAAGTCAATTTCTCTGGGAGTTTGTGAGAACCCATGCTACATGGGTATCTCTACAATTATTTTTAATACTAAGTCAAACCGATTGGCACAGAAAGTAGTGTCCATCTGACAGTGTGTGCAGGGGAAGAAGGTATTTCTGCATCAGTGGGGTTGGTGCTATGGAAACCCAAAGGAAGGTGGAGAAAGATGCAACACAACAAGGCTGCAGAAAAGTGCCCCCATCAGTAAGACAAGCCAAAAACATCCAGGACAGTGAAGAGGAATAGAGTATCCATGAAGTATGGGAGTTTGTGGAAAGCAGAGCAAATTAATGAGAAGTTCTGGTGATGCAATTCTACCACCCCAGGGCTTGGGAGACTGAGGCAGGAGGACTATTGCAAGTTCCAGGCCAGTCTAGGTTATAGAATAAAACCCTGTCTCAAAAAATAAGTCTCCCAGAGGATCAAGAGGACACATTAGTTAAGAATTCACTAATGATTAAAATGCATAAGGGATGGTGAGAGAGAGAAAGTAATCAGAATTCATTATATACAGGAATGAAATTTTCAAAGAATAAATTTAATTTAAAAAATAAAATGTAAAGTGAAAAATAAAATCCACATTTTATTATCCCCAACACTTAAAACTTCGCCAGCACTTCTTCATTATCTTCTATGTGCATGTTGTTCTCTTGACACTGTGGTGAAAACTGAGTGAACACAGGCGGTGATTCTGTCCAGACAGACCTTGTTTGGAGAGAAAATGCTGATTCCCATGAAACTGTCATCCAACAATGTGAATTTAGGAAATGTGGCACTCCTTGAATCCTGTCACTCAGAAGGCAGAGATCTGTCTGGATCTCTGTGAGTTCAAGGCTACACTGGGCTACAAGAGATTGATCCAGTATAGGAGAGAAACAACCAGGCAGTAGTGTCAAATGCCTTTAACCCCAGGAAGTAATATATGGCAGGGTAGAGAAAGGTATATAAGGCGTGAGAAAATAGGAACTCACTCTCTTTAGACTGAGGATTTTGTAGAGGTAAAAACTAGTGGCTGGCTGTTCTGCTTCTCTGATCTTTCAGCTTTCACCCTGATATCTGGCTCTGAGTTTTTTATTAAAAGACCATCTAAGATTCAATCAACAGGTTTCCCCATGCCCCCACTACAGTATTTCCCTTCCACTCTTCCCTGCAATCCTTATTCCCAAACAACCTTTCATCTGCATTTCATCATTACAGATCAGTTTGCCTTTTCTTGAGTTTAACATTAATGGACTTTTGGTCTATTTTAATACAATATAATTGTTTTGAGATTCATCCATGCTATAGCGTATAACAGCCCATTCATATTCATCTCTGAGTAGTGTCCCATCATGTAAGACCTCAGTTTATTCCCCCACCTGCTGATGCTTTTACTTCTACATATGAAGTGTTTGTGGGCATTTGTAATTATGTCTGTACTCATTGCAGTGGTGTATCCAGTTGCATACACGCAGATTACAACAGACATATCACATGAAAACAGGACTTGGTTTTGAACGGGGAAAGCCCTGGTTAAGGGTTGAGACTGGGGACTGGAAAGATGGCTCAGCAGGTGAGAGCACCTGTCACCACGCATGAAGATCTGATTTTAATCCCCAGAAACCACAGGTAGAACCAACTCCCACAAGCTGTCTTCTGACTTCAATATGTGTGCTATGGTGCGTGCTATGTATACCCGCAAAAATGCACACACCTGCAAACATAATAAATAAGTTTTTAAAGTTAAGACTGAAGATTTGGAGCCAATTACAATAACTCAAACTTGTAATCTCAGTATTCAGAATACTGAAGCAAGAGGATTGTCTTTAATACCAGGCCAGCTTAGGCTGTATGAAATCCTGTCTCTGCAAAAAAAAATGATAAAGGACTGAAATCCTAGATTATGAGCTTCACTGCTACAAAATTGCCAGTGACCTAGAGCAAACATCACCTGTTACCTTTCTGGTTTTCAGTTTCATGAAAAACAAAGAGAAGTCTGAATTAAATGTGCTGTGCTAGGCTAGGAATCTACTGCTCTGGGCTTATCCCCCTGAGGATCCTCTACTTTCTGTAACTGGATCTCTCACAAAGAACAAAATCAGAAAGTGTGGTGAATGCCCTTTCTCCACCATCACTGCCACAGGGTCTTGAACCAAAAGATCAGTCCTGTGCCAAATTTAAGTATGCCCACTTGATTCCATAGTCAACACCAGTCATAATAGGTAACAAAGTTCTAAATTCATTAATTCTGGCCCTAGACAGGAAAGAAGGCCAGAAGAAAGGTTTCTGTCTCTTGTGTTCACACAGACTTTCAGCAGACAATAGACAAATTTAGACACAGGGAGATGCTGCCCACCAGATTGAAGAGAACAAGACATCAGATGATATCTCTTTTCCGAATGCAGTGTGTTTCCCACCCTACATCTCTCTCATGTCTGTGAGCTGCACCTGAGCATCCAGCCTCTAATCTGAAAACTCCTCTGAGACAGCCGTCTCAGCTCAATGCCTGGGTGCCTCCCCGTCCCCAGTGTAGCTCCTCAGCCTGAGTGCTGTTAGAATGCAGCCTCCTGACATAGGAGGTCTACAAGTTAGGCATGAGCACTAATCCATCAGCTCTGTTGTCTGATCAAGTGAGGAATACTCCTCCCAAAGACTCATGAAAATCCTTCCCTTTTTATCACAGATCATGTTTTACTTTAAGCTGTTCAGAAGATTCATTGCTTAAACCATTAACTTGGAAGAAAGATCTGGAAAACAAGCATAACAAGAATTTGATCACAGACGGCCCCCCAAAAAAAAGAATAGCTAGAGATGAAATGAAAGCAGAAAGGGTTTTTGCAAAGTTAGAACTGAACCAAGTCCGAATCTGCCCATGCCCCCATTGTACCCAGTGAACAGGATAACTGTGGCAGAGAGGCCTCAGGTCCCTTCATTATTTCCCAAGGCTCATTTTGAGCTTTACTAATGACCTACAAGGAGGATAGACAGTTTGAATAATTGCCCTGCAGTGAGACAGGTCATCTCTTCAACAGTTTGCACATACTCCAACAGTATAATCACTTTTTATGTGGAGCAAAGTGGGAGCCTGTGATAGTTAAATCAATGCTATTGACCTGTCAGGATAGCACCAACATCAGCACCAGAGAATTTATACATAAAAATTATCAGGTTAATCAATAATTCTATGAGTACAACTCATAAAACTCTGATGATTACTGCTCTAAGCTTCAGTGAGCTCAAGAGAATATTGCTATGTTTCAGGATTTGAGAGCCAGCCTTCCAGAACTGCAAAAGGTGTCGTTGCATTATTTAGACACATGGTGGCAGCACGCGTCTACTATACTGACGTCCAGAGATGCATTCTGTGATGGTTTGTTTGTTTGTTTGTTTGTGACGGTATTTAAAAAGGAGGAGGATTCTGCTCAGAAATTGTTGGACTCTTGAAAATTCAGGTAAAAGTTTTTTTAAACAGTAACTTTAAATGCATCCCAAAGACAGCACAACAAAGTGATTTTGGTCCAAATCAGTCATCTAAGAACAAGCCCTCCCTACCAACCACATGTTTAACAATGGCTCTTCCTCCTTCCAGTGGTTAAGCAAGTCACTGCATTCATGGAACAAACACTATAGCAGGAGCCCATTGGACCATGGGAAGAATTGCATTTGCAGGAAAACTGACTCCAGATGAAAGGCTGAAAGATTGACAATTCACTCGGGCCTTACCACCACCTGAGCTCCCTCCACTGAAACTCATTAAGCTCTGATGAAGAAGGCAAGGCCCTTACCACCCTCTCCTCCACCATCACTCTTTCCTGTTTCTTGTCTGCCTAGGTCCCACAGAAGACAAGAGATGCTTCTGGTTTTGTTTTAATTTTCTAATCACTCAGACGTTTTAAATGAGCAAAACATTCTGTTCCAGGTTGGTATACATAGGAGCTGAGATTTATTTCAGGTAAAAAGACAGTTTAATAACATCTAACATCGGCCACCACAATAGAGGTTTGTTCTGAATACCAACCAAAGAAAGTTCTTTACTATAGGTTAACCTCTAGGTTTCTAGAGAGGGTGGGTAATCTAAGGTAATATATGGCTTTGCTACAAGCTCATATATTATTTGAGTTACTATATGCCAGAAGTCAGGGAGGCAGAGAAAATAAGGACCAGGGCTATAACTCAAGGCTACCTGGGGTTCATAAAGCAGGGGTAGCAGCACTTGCTGAAGAGGAATGATAGAGAGAAGGAGGCCTGACGCTGCAGGAAACTGTGACTAGATCACTCCAATATTGCCAAATCTGGTCTCTATTTTCCTTTCAGTTTCTTTTATACACATACAATGTACTTTGAATTCATTCCCTTCCATTATCCTCTCTTATCCACCCCTCTTACCAAATCCCTTTTCTCCTTGTTTCAGGTCTTTTTATTTAATGTATATGAGCATTTTGTCTGCATGTATGTCTGTGCATCACATGCTTGCCTCATGCTTACAGAGACCAGGAGAAGGTATCAGATCCCCTAGGACTGGAGTTACAGACAGTTGCGAGCCATCATTTGGGTACTGGGAATCAAACCCAGGTCCTCTGGAAGAGCAGCCAGTGCTCTTAACTGCTGAGCCATCTCTCCAGCCCTCATGTCTTTTTCCCATGTACATCCTTCATCACACTTGACTAAGATCACTTGCATGAACATAGGGAGGGACTTATTACTTGAATAAGGACAACTTACCAGTGGCTACAACACTATGGAATATGACTTCCCTCCCCTGTCAACCATTAGCTGCTTATAACTCCTCAGGGTGGGGTAGTGTCTCATGAGCCTCTCCTCCATTCATCATGGAATGTTAATAGGCCCAGTCTTCTGCAGGTCTTGTTCAAGTAACCACCACAGCTGTGACTTTGGGAGTGCAGCAGCCATGTGATGTCCAGAAAAGAAAATTTCAGTTTCTTCCCCATTCTCTGACTCTTGGATTCTCTCTATCCCTGCAATGTTACTGAGCATTAGAGAAAGCAAATCTAGTCTCTCAAAGCTGCAGCATCTTACAATGTCAGGCCCATGATCTAGTACCAAATCTCATCACCTTCCACTCACAGAAAGGGCAAAGTACAAATAGAATTAAATCCTCATGCTCTTTATCACGGGTGTCCACAATATCCAGGATTCTTAACTGAAAGTTGAAGGTTTGGAAAATGACAGAAAACAAGCTTCCTGTGCTGAGTCATTATTAGGGCCCTGTCTGCATTCTTAATCATAGATTTTTATCATCCTCTGTACTAATGGTTAGACCTCAGATATGTTTCCTATCACTTTTACCTGCTTTCTCTCTTCTTACTGTCTAACTCTCCCACAAGTTCCAAGGTTTTGGATCCCAGGCAAGGCTCTTACCACATATGATTTGTTCTCTTTCCTCAAGGCCTGCCAGCCAGAAATGTTAGCTCGACTGGACAATATGCCTATCTTATCATTCTCCCCTTATCCACTTTTTTCCTGCCAAATCAGAGGCCAAATGTGGAACAGAACATCTACATGTGTTTTTCACATTATAGCTCATATTGGTAGGTTCTTCTTAGATAGACAGGTCAACCTCAGTTGCTAGTCTTAACAACCACAGTAGACCCTAACCAACAGCTGTCATAGCCTGACTACAATCCTGACCCATATTTGTTACTTTCGGGGATGGTAACTTTGGTGGTTTAAAGAAGAATGGCCCCTATAAGCTCAGATACTTTAGTCTCCAGGTGGTAGAACTACTTGGGAAGGGTCAGGAGGTGTGGCCTCATTGAAGGTGTGTCACTGGGGGTGGGCTTCGAGGTTTCTAAAGCCCATGCCATTTCCAGTTCCTCCCCCTCTGAGGATATAAGCTCTCAGCTACTGTTCAAGTGCCATGCCTGCCTGCCTGCTGCCATGACCCCTGCCATGATGGTCATGGACTCTAATCCTCTGGGACTGAGAGCCACCAAAAAACTCTTCTTTTTTTTTTTTTTTTAATGTTGCCTTGGTCATGGTGTTTTGTCACAGCAATATAAAAGTAACTAAGACAGTGACATATTCTCTAGTCCATTAACTATTTGAGGGGAATCCTTGTACATGTGGTATATCCCATCATCAAAAAGCATAACATATTATACTGTACAGAATAAAATGACAACCTTTGAGTTCCCCTCAAGGATGTTCCACCCTTGGATGAATCAGCATCAGTTGCATGTCTTACCATGGTAGAAACCATGCAACTTTTCCTCTAAAACTCATGTTTGGTTTTGTTTTGTTTTGTTTTGTTTTCAATCCTTATTTGGGCTATAATTTGCTCCATAGTTTTTCTTAGATGTTCTATTTTGTTCGCCCCAGATAGAAAGGGTAACAACAGTTCAGTGAAATTATTCCACCCAAGTGAAGTTTAGTGAAGCAATGACTCTTGCTGGGGTTATTTACAGGGCTATGAGTGACTCTGGCATCACAGGAAATCCAACCCAGCATGGGTTAAGGGCTGACAGAAGTTCCCTGTACACCTTGCAGACAGATGCATCACCAAGGAGTCTCTCGTCCTCCACCAACGGCTTACTGTCCATATATCCTCCAGATGTGGCTGATGCCACTAAGTTTCATGGGCCTTGTAAGTCTCCCTGTACCCTCCATAAGGGGATGGTCCAGTGTGTGTGTGTGTGTGTGTATAGTCAGATGGCTTTTGCCCCTGCCCTTTAAAGTCAGTTGTCAGGATAAAGTGAAACCTCACAGCCTGGCTGTGAGTTTTTCTCCAGTCACTATCAACCAAAAAAGCATATAGGTAATGGATCAAGTTAGAGTGTAATTTAAATATGGTAATAATTTAGCTAAGAGGATATTAAAAAGTGGAAATATTGCTTAGAGTTTACAAAGAAGTTAATTATAATTTTTAAACTTTTTATTGCATTTGTTTATTAGTGTGTGCAGTGGTAGTGAGGTATGGGCCCATGTGTATGCAACAGCCCACATGCGGAAGTTGGATGGCAAGTTGCAGGAGTCAACTCTCTCCTCCCACCATGTCAGTCTTGGGTATGAAATTCAGATTGTCAGGGTGGTGACAAACACCTTTACCAATGAGCCGTTTCACCAGCCCCAAAGAACTAATTGTAATGGCAGAAGGCAATCTGGACTGGATAGAGAGAGACATGAAGACATGAAGTAGATGAGGAACTGCAGTAAATTTCCAGATCACTGAAGAAGGAAATGGAAGGGGAAGGGGACAAGTTTTTAATTTTGTGGATAATTATTCACCAAGATTTACAAGAAGAGGAGAGAGTGGACCAACACAATATCTTCAAGAACAAAGAGGAGCTGAAGAGATGGAGGGGGTTAACAGAAACCACAAGTGATAGAAGGTAATAAAAGCCAATGTCCAGCTGAGGTTGAGATTGATGTGAGGAAACATGCCAGTAATCCCAGCACTCAGCAGCTTGGTCTATATATTAAAATGCTGTTCCTTTTTCAAAATTAAAAAAAAAAAAAAACTTAAGATGACTTAAATCTGCAGTATCCCTGGTAGATTAAGGCTGCTTTACAGATATGACAGAGATTTGCTGAGGGTTAGCAGGTCAGTCAATGAATGAGTAGAGTAGAAATAACAAGAAGAGGAAATTATGTTGCCTCCAGCCTCCACAGCCTGCCAGAGACACAGTACCCTGAAGGGATAGTCTCTCCAGGATTCCCCCTCCATCACCTTGGGGAATGCCTCTCTGGACACCTCCATGGAAAATGCTAATTATGGGAGTGGGACACAGATTCCCCAGCGCTCTGTCCCCTCTTCTAAGGAGCAGGGAAACTAGACTCTTGTTTCTTCTCTAGTGAGAAAAGGTGTCAGTATCCTTCATTTTTCTCTCTCTCTTGTTAGATTTTAAAAGAATATTTTTGGTGCAATCGCCAGCTAAGGTTAATTAGCTACTACCACAAGACTCAAGCGGTTGACCTGTTGTGCTCCTTACAGGACTCTCCAGTAACAGCCCTGACTTGTGCCTCTGTATCTCAATTCTACAAACTGAGGCATCTTTTTTTCAAACCATTGATTTATTCCTCTGCTGAACAGGATGGCACCCACCCCTTATCTTCATCCTGGGGCACCTGGCTCTGATCTCAGGTATTCTTTCCAGCAACCAATACACTCAAATATTTGGGTTTTTTGCTAATCTTGCCCTCTGTCACTTCAAACCAAGGGAATCCAGAACACAAGCAAGACACCAACATAAATTCAAGGTCTAAAAGTGGAGCCAGAGGTTAGACATGAAGGTAAGTTTGTTACATTGCTCTAAGAATAATGGTTTTTCAGCTAGGGTCCTAGTCTAGAAAGTCAAGGAAGGTTTAAAGACATGTTATACTATTTACAACAGATTTGCCTTCTGAAAAATCATCAGTGTGTGTGTGGGGGGGGGTGTTACAACTGTGTTCTTGGGGATTTGTGCAAAACATAAAGATTGTCTGTGAAATTTTATTAGTGGGTACCTGTTCTCATGCAGTGGCATGTCTGAAGGTAAATATTTTAGGGCTCACCTAGCTATGATGGTACATGGTTATGAAATCACAGTACTGAAGAATTTGATGTTTTGTAATTCAACACCTCTAGTCACCACCACTACACAAAGTTAAATGTCATGTCTTGTATTTTATCCATGTTCAGTTCAGCCCCAATGCGGTAAAGTTGTCTAGAAATAAAGATCAAGCTTTGCATGTCCTTTTGTCTTCCACAGTCTGGCATAATACAGCCTGTAAAGCTGAAAATCTTGGAGTTAGTCAGATTTAAGTGAAAGTCTTATAAATCCTTACAAACAACGTGGCTGTGGACAGTTTAATTTTGATCCCTCCCTACCCTGCTCTGCCTAATTTCTAATCAAGGAAATATTAAAGTTAATATATGAAAGGAAATGGATTTTTACATCAATTCTGTCAGCACTCATTTCCTGGAGCAGGAGTGATCCAGAAACATACACCTGTAATCTCAGCACTCAGGAGTCAGAAGCAGGACAATTCTGAGTTAGGCTGCATAGTGAGACTTTGTCTTAAAAAACAAAACTATTTCCAAGGCCAGGGATATACATTCAACACGTATGAGGACCTGGGTTCAATTTCCAACACCAACAAATATCAAACAATGAAAACAAAAATGTATATGCTGGTAAATGATAGGGATGATAACAGTTAACACTCACCCACTGTGTGCCAGGCACTGTTCAAAGCACTCTGTGTTTCACTCCTGTTACACACTTATGTTTTCAGGGGCACAGGCGCTAAGTTCATGCCCATAGTTATCATCCAGGAAGTAGCAGAATCAAGACTCAAACCTAAGGAGTCTGGGTCCTGAACCTTGTTCTTATTCATATTAAGCTTACTCTGCCTGATAAGGATAAGCAAAATGTTTTATTAGAAGAGGGATTGCTTCCTAGAAAACAATATAAAAGACTGTGATTGATAGACGAATCAGCATCAATTGGCAATGATCATATATGTGAAGGCCAGAGGACAACTTGAAGAAATCAGTTCTCTTCCACTATTTGGGTCTCAGGGATGAAACTCAGTCCATCAGACAGCAAGTGCCTCTACCTGGTGAGCCATCTTTCCAGCCAAGAGGAGTGTGACTTTTTAAAATTAAAAGCAGTGAGTGTGTTTACATATGATAATATCTGTCAGGAAACATGCATAGAAAGATTTCTCTGTAAATTTTATCCATTCCATCAACTATGATGGTTTCCATACCCACCAGATATTGGATTCAGTACCAATACCTAGGGCCTTAAAAATGAGGTTCTCTTTGTTTCTTGCATTTCCTTTTTTGGGGGGAGGGGTGATTTTTGAGACAGGGTTTCTCTGTGTATCCCTGGCTTTCCTGGAACTCACTCTGTAGACCAGTCCATTCTCGAACTCACAGAAAGCCACCTGCCTCTGCCTCCCAAGTGCTGGGATCAAAGGCATGCACCACCACCGCTTGGCTCTTGCATTTCTTTTAAATTTGTTTGAGAAATGATTGACAGGAAAGCCCAGGATAGACCCAAGAAATCACCCACTTCAAACTCCCCCATTGACACTAGTCAAAGTTGAGGCAGAACAGCACATGAAGTGAATTCTATATCTCAAATAACCAACTAGAGGCATCTGTGCTTGCCAGGAGTAAGGTCTTCTTATTTCTGCTTTGACAGGAAGTGTTCCTTCCCCCACCAAGCTAGTCTGTGGTGATCCTGAGTGCCACATCTACAGCAGGAGGTCCTGTGCTCTATAAGTAGCCTCCACAGGTTAGACAACAATATAATGGATTAAAAAACAAACTAGCTCAGTACTGAGTATATCCTTAGCTTGCACAAGGTCCCAGATTCAATCCTCAATCCAAAGGGGGAAAAACTGAAGCATAATAAACTTTTAAGGAGTTTATTCGAGTAAACAGTTGTTCCTGAGTCAGGTGGAAGTGATTCAGTGAGCCACAGTGGGAAAACAAAGGGAACATTTTTTTATAGGATAAACATAGAAGTAAAACAAAGAAACATTTGCTTGGAGGCTGGACATGGTGGCACATGCTTATAACTCCAGCACTCTGATGGTGAACACAAGAGGGTCAGGAGTTCTAGATCATCCTCTTGCTACAAATAGAACTGAAGGTCAACCTTCCTGAGACCCTGTTGAAAGGAAGTGAAGGATGGAAAGAGGGGCAGGCAGGGACGAAGGAAGAAAGGGAGGGAAGGAGGATCAAGAAGAAGAAAATATTTGATGGCTACAGTCATATTTGGTCTATTCCAGTGAAAAGTTTACAGATACATATATTTGCAGGCTGCTCCTAACTGGTTGAGATTACATTCTGTTTTTATATAATATAGGCATTTACAAGAAGCACTTCCACTTTGGTTTGCACATAGAGCAGAGTTAGGGTCACCTGTGAAGCGTGACTGGCTTGCCTGCTCAGGGCTCTCCTAGCTTCAACTGTAACTTTTGCATAAACCAAAAACAGTGGCAATGCTGCTCCATCTAGTCTCACTCAGGCTGGACTTTTAGACAATGCACACTTTTAAGGAAAATGGGGGAAGAAGGCTCAGAGTGGAGTGTGTCCTTCTGTACCTTCATAGCTGCTCCTGGTAGAGACACTGCATTTCTTCTTTAATTCCTGAAAGTGCAGCCAGAGCCAGGGAGACAGACCTGACAAGCGATGGACTCAGGACAACATGGTTTTCTAAATCCTCAACTGGCTCATCTGTTAAAGAGAGGCATTGTCTCCCTTGAAGGAGCTTGTGAACGAATACTGGCATGTGGCTATGTAATGAAAATAAAATTTGGACACGGGCTTTCCTCTCTTGCCCAGTTTATCCCACATTGGGGATTCTTATTTGTCGTGGATAGTGATAAGATAGGGTCTCACTGCATAGCTCTGGCCGACCTGGAACTCACTATGTAGACCAGGCTGGCCTCAAACTCACCACGATTTCCGGCCTCTGCCTCCCGAGCGCAAGGCCTGCACCACCAAGCCCGCTAGCATTAAATATCTTTGTCTTATCCTTCTGAACCTTGTTGGAGTTTCCCCTCAGGCTAACCACAGCTCAGCGGAGCGCTTCCTGCTGCTGGGTTTCACCGACTGGCCATCGCTGCAACCGGTCCTCTTTGCGCTGGTCCTTCTCTGCTACCTACTAACGCTGACCGGCAACGCGGCGTTGGTGCTGTTGGCCATTCGCGATCCGCGCCTGCACACACCCATGTACTACTTCCTCTGCCACTTGGCCCTGGTGGATGTGGGCTTCACCACCAGTGTCGTACCGCCGCTGCTGGCCAGCCTGTGCGGCCCGGTGCTGCGGCTACCGCGCGGCGGGTGCATGGCACAGCTGTGCGCCTCGCTGGCCCTGGGCTCCGCCGAGTGCGTGCTGCTGGCGGTTATGGCGCTGGACCGCGCGGCTGCCGTATGCCGCCCGCTGCGCTACGCCGCACTCGCCTCACCGCGCTTGTGCCGCTCTCTGGCCAGCGCCTCCTGGCTTGGCGGCCTGGCCAACTCCGCTGCGCAGACCGCCCTGTTGGCCGCGCGTCCGCTGTGCGCGGCCCGCCGTCTGGACCACTTCATCTGCGAACTGCCCGCCCTGCTGCAGCTAGCCTGCCGCGGCGGCCGCAGCGCCACCGAGCGCCAGATGTTCGCCGCGCGGGTGGTCATCCTGTTGGTGCCTTCTGCGGTCATCCTGGTCTCCTACACCGCCGTGGGCCGCGCGGTCTGGGGTATGCGCTCCCGCGCGGGCCGGCGGAAAGCAGCGAGCACGTGTGGCTCTCACCTGACCGCCGTCTGCCTATTCTATGGGTCCGCCACCTACACCTACCTGCAACCCACACATAGTTACAACCAGGGCCGCGGCAAGTTCGTCTCGCTCTTCTACACGGTGGTCACACCCGCGCTCAATCCCCTTATCTACACACTGCGAAACAAGGAAGTGAAGGGGGCGGCGCTGAGGTTCTTGCGGAGTCTGGGGAGGAGGCAGGTCAGACAGTGAGTGGACTAAGAAGGGCGCAGGGTCCCGGAACTGGGGTGCCCATTATTATTTGTCTTTGCCTGAGATCTGCAAGTTTTGTCCTCAAGGAGTCCAGGGTTAGTAAAAGGAAGATCCCTTTCTCTCACTGGCTAGGTTTGGATTCCTGAAGGGAAATCCCGAAATATATAAACACACATATGGTGAAGGGGTAAATAGCTCTTGAGACTTTCTACAGAAGGGAAGCATGATGGAGGAGGGGGCCATCCTCATCCTCGGGAGACTTTGTAACCACCCTTGAATCCACATGGAGATAAGATGATGAGCACCCTGGTGCTGACCTTTGGTTTTCCCCAGGCTTACAAAGGATCATAAAAAATTCCATGGCCTCAGCCATCAGGTGGAGTCCCTCCAAGAAGGCCATGTCCCTACCTTACATAGATAGCTTCCAGAAACAGGACATGTTTTCTCTTCTTGGGGAGCCAGCCCAGCTAATATAGCACTAGCCGGGTGACCAGTGCTCACCACAGAACACGGGATACATAAGACTGCAAGGAAAATCTGCAAGTATAGGAAATTACGCCAGGCCTGGTTAAGCTGGGAATCCCATCTGCAGGATATGGTTTTTGAACTAGTTTTAAAGAAGAGAAAGAACCAGCATTGGTGAGGATGAAGGTAGCCATGGTCAGGCTGTGAGAAAAGCCTGCCTGTGACTAGAAGTGAGGCAGAGGAACAAATAGAAGGAAGATGGAGAAAGGTATCCGGTGGCAAAGGAAGCTCTATCAGCCAGAGGAAGCCAGAAGTTAACCCCTTCCCTTCCTTGCCCGAGATGAACATTTTGTTAGGGGTTAGACACAGCAGATAGAGAAGGTACTAGATTTTATTTCATACCAAATATCTTTAAGAAGAGAGGATGATTGAATAAATTTCTAAATTATTTATTAGATTGTGATCCTTTTGGGGTAAAAGAAAAATAACACATTACTTCCCTATTCTCTATAAGTAGAACCCAATTTGGTTCAACAATTACTCATTGGTCCACCTCCCCCTGCCTCCCAAGTTCTGAAATTAAAAGTGTGTACCACCACACCTGACTAATGTTTCCGTTTCTGCTCTCGACAACAATCCTGCCACATAATGAACTATGTCAGAAACAAGGAATCACAGACTTGACAAATATGTTTAATCCACTCCACTCATCTCCAATCTTTATTTCATTCTCATTAATTTTTAGAAATCATCAAAGAATGTGATTGGTAAGAGCTAAAAGGAAGTGGGCTTTGTTTATTGTATCGCCCCATCCACATAGTCACCCCCCAATGCAGTGCATTGTCAGAAAGAGCAAACTGCCCCTCCTGATGTTGTAGTCAGCCATGATCTTTCCATCTTCCAGCCTCTTTCCATTGCAAGTCACAATCTGAGTCTTGGGGGTCACGGTGGTCACCCTCTCGATCATCTCTTTCACCTGGGCCACTGAGCTGGATCTTCGAACGTGGAGGAGGTGCCTTTGCCCCTCATTGCTTGACTCCACCAGAAACAAGGGCAGCTCTTCATCACTGGGCTTCACCACCTTCAGGGTGAGGTGGATGGTTGTTTCCTTGTCAATGCCATAAGATGACAGTTTTCTCTGGGGCTTGAGGATCTTGGAGCCTAGCAGAAGGATCTGGTCATGCACAGAAACCTTGGTTTGGGACCTGATATGTTCGTTTATCTTCTTCACTTTGTCACTCTCAGTGGCGTCAAAGGTCATCAATGGCCATTGCTCAGAGTGGACAATCTAAGCAAAGAAAGCCAAGAGTCACCTAGAGTGTCTGCCACCCTCTATACCCCACTCCTCACCTTCATTGTTCCGTCCACTTGGCCCTTCAGCTCCTACCCAACAATCTGTATCTCCCCCTCTTTTAAGACTTCGAATTCCCATATTATAACACAAATTGGAGCATTAGTCTCATTCCTCTTGAGATGTATATCTAATATATCTCCAATGTAACTACCAATTTCCTACCCTATTAACTGGCCTCTCCTAAGCCAGATATCAAAAGCAAAGACACTACATGGCTTTGAAAGACGTACACAGATTCTTAAACAACTCCAAAGCAGATTTCCAAGATGTGGCCGCCTCATAGGATACTCTCAGCCATGCTTCACCCTCTGTGACTAATTCAGAACAAACCCTGATTACGTCATAATCTCCACACTATTACATTCTTATTAATGTCCCCATTGATTTCTGATAATGACCATGTTGTAGTGATGCTGTGTTTAATGTTGTTAATCTGTATTGTTTGTATTTTTATAACTATTGTTATAAGAGCATAATATCTTCTTTTAATTAGACTAGGATCCCAATCACATAAGACAGGAACTATATCTAAGTTTAATTTCATTTACTGCAGAATTCTGGAAGATGGGAAAGAATCAGGTCTGCAAACTCTATGCAAACCTCCTCATACACCATTCAAAAACATCTTCCCAACCTAGATGTTTCAGATGCTCCTTCAGTGGAGGTTTCATCCTGTGTTGGGCACTGCCCTGACTGCAGGTTCTCTTCATGAGGACATATTCTTGTTTAAGGTAATGTGTTAGATAACTGATAACTTAAATGAGATTTGTGAAATTTTCCTTTGAAAAGAAAGAGAAGCTTAAAGTTGAGAACTCTGAAAATTATTTCCCTAATTTCACGTCTTGCCAGCCTTGTTGAAGCACAATGCCTTACCATTTCTCCCAAGTTTGGCTGGCAAAATGCTTATCTGGTAATAGTTCTTGCCACCAAGCCTCACCACCTGAGTTTGACCCCTATGACATAGGTGGTGGAGGGGCAGAACTGACTCTGGCAGATTATCGTCAGACCATGACCCTGCATATGCATGCGCACATACAATAATACATAATTAAAGTATCTTAAAAGTTTAATAAGCCAAATGACCAAGCTCTCTCCAGAGTACCTCCTCCTGTTGTGCAGTTATCAATGTCTGCCTTGTCTCCTAAATGGAGCCCACCCAACCCCCTCACCTTCCAGACACTGTCCCCTCATGAATTATGGAACTGTATTCCCAATGCATGGAAATGCTTTTCCTTCCCCTCCTTTTATCAGACCCCAACTTACACAGATGCAGGAAGCCATGTCTGCAATCAGAGGCTGAATGGGAAAAGAGTCCTCGAGTCTGCTTATATGTGAGTAGCTGGACTGGAAATCCCCAAGACCGCTGTGTTGTCCAGTTTAGCAACGACCTTTGTTCTCCAGAATTTCCTTTCACTTTTGCTTTCACTCTTTGTACACGGACGTCTCCCTTTAGCCTGTCCACCTGTTTGCCTAGTTCTGAACACAGAACAGCCCTTCTATAATAAGGGCTCCCAACCCTGCCTTATTACTGCTCAGCCACTAACCTTGACCCTCACTGGCTTGATAATCATGATTCTTGGTAGCCCTCTCTCACTGCCTTTAAGAGTTCCAGGCCTCTCTAAGAGCAAGGATACCCAGAGAGGACAGGTAGGATTGGTGATGACTGACCAGGTTGTCAGGAGCCTTTTCCCACTAATTGGGAAGAATGTACGAAATCCACCTGCATGAGATACAAGAGAAAATGAGCCTGGACTACAGAGTCATGACTTGGTGCCCTGGGGTACCACTTGCTACATACATTATATTATGGAAATATGTTCCCATCTTTTAACATAGGTCTATAAAATTAGGTAACTGTAGGCCATTCTAATCTCTTCCCAGTTCAGAAAACCTTACTTATAAAATTTTTAAACACACACACACACACACACACACACACACACACACACACACACACACTTTGGATTCCTGGTTCTTGAACCTCTAATACATTTCTAATCCTGACCCAGGACCTGCAAATCAAACATACTACTTGAGAACAATCCAAAACCAACTGTTAAATTCTGTCTCCCACCTTTCTCCATATGCACACCACAGTTCCTGGATTTCCCCACTGTGGTTCTTGGATCCCTCCCTCCCACTTGAGCTCAGAAACACACAAAGATGCTACTCATTTCCTCACTCTTGATATTTGGTTGAATGAGACCAAGAATGTGACTGAACTGTGTGTCCACAGGAAACTTACCCAATCACTCTGATACTCCTAATATTCCAAGTTTGCCACTGGCTTCTCAGGACATTCCATGGAACTAATTTTCAAAATTGTTTATTAAAGTTGATTCAGATTTTTCAAAGAATCCTGTAAATTTTCCAAGTCATTCCCTTGTTTTCTGTGTTTGCAGTGACTATGTACCTTCACTCACCAAAATTTCTCCTTTTTTTTTCTTTTTTGATCATGAAGGAAACCCTCCCTCAGTTCCTCCCAAATCCTCCTCCTCACCTCCCTGCCCACCCAACTTCATGTTCTTTCTCTATCTGCGTCTCTAGAAAAAAAACATACACTCACAAAAAACCCACAAAAATGAAAATCAAAACAAATAAACAAAAGACCAATAAGACAGAAAATGCCAAAATAAAGCAAAATAAAACAAAAAGTTCACAAAAATACTAATGAGTTAGTTTTGTGTGGACCAACTACCCATGAGTATGGGGCCTACCCTAAAGTAAAGTTAATGAGACTCCATTGGAGAAAAATGATTTTTCCCTTTGCAGGGCAGTATCAATTGCAGATAGCTTCTTAGTTAGGAGTGGGACCATTCCCTCTTCACCTACTGAAAGATCTTAAACAATTTCATTTTATTCTAGAAGGTCCCATTCTGAAGAACTTGGATTTACAGGGTACCTGTGTATAGTAAGGAAATCCAAAAAGCTTACTCAAATACTTCAAAATCCTCATGAAAATTATATTGAAGCTCTTATTAGATAGTCATCAGTTAAATTGAAAAGATTATTACTATATTTGGTGGAGTAATATACTCTTTAAACACGTAGGATTAACATGAAGGGAAGAATCCATGGTAGAATATACAGAATGCCACTGGCTCTACTGTTCTTTCAGATCCCCCTCATGCTCCCAATTGTTCTCAAGGATTAAAGTCCCAGTTTCTGACCTTTGGCTGCA